CTCTCTCCCTTTCTCCTTTCTCTGCCTCCCTCTCTTCCTTTCTTTCCTCTTTTGTACTGGGAATCAAATCTAGGGCCTCACATATACGAGGCGAGCGTTTTGCCACAGAGCTACATCCACATCTATTTTTAAATGCAACGTGCATTTTTAATTAAAAATGTATAACAGGTAAAGAATATAATGACTAGTACAGTTTGAGGTCACTGCGGTGATTCAAACGAACACCAATGGTTTTCCAAATAATGTTAGCATTATTATAAAGTTTATTGTGATTCTCAAGGCCACACATAAAGGGGCCTTAAAGATCCCACTCAGCCTCTTATGCAGCCCTTTCCCAGAAGTCTCCTCACCACACTTTGAGAAAAATTGCTCTTGTCAAAAATCTGAAATGTCCAGGTATGGTGGAGCACACCTCTTAATCTCCGTACTAGAAAGGCTTAGGCAGGAGCCAGGAGTTCTAGGTCAGCCTGGGCTACATAATGTCACAAAAAACAAAAACAAAAATATCTAAGATATATTCTTTATTCTTCCTCTTTCCTTACCCGCCATTCCCTAAATTCAACTCATCTCCAGTTAGTTTGTTTCATTTCCAAATTGTATCTCTAGTTTTTGTATTTCTCCATCACCACTAACACAGTAAGTTATTCTATCTCTCCTTGAGAATGCTTTAATAGCCTATTAATTGGTCTCTTTCTCCACCATTTGTCTATGGCGCCATTTAAAAAATATAAATCAGATCATGACACTCATTGCTCTTAGAATAAAATGCAAATTCTTTGCCAAATATTGCAGGACTCTGTAATTAATCTCCTGCCTGTGTCTCCCATATTAGCTCAGCCCAGTCAGTCCCTCTCACCACTTTCCATGCATACTGAATGCCCTTCAGTTCTTGAAACCTGGTAATGCTTTCTTTCAGCAGGGCCTTTGAATTTGCTGTCCTTTAGGTCCACAAACTGAATGGCTGGCTCAAAGTCACGCCTACTGTATTCACTCTCCCTTTCCCTAACCCCCTTTATCTTTCACATCATCACCCTTATGTTTCTACACAGAAACTGTAACAATTTGTAATTGTCTTGTTATTGTTACTTACAGTATATCTCCTGTGCTATCATGTAAGTAACATGAGGGCAAAATCTCTGTCATTTTGTTCCCTGCTGTATTCCTTAACAAGTACCTGGCACAGAAAGAGCACTCAACAGCTGTTAAATGAATAAAACATGAATGGAAATGGGGAATAGAGGGCAAGTTTCAGAGTTGCTTATGATTAGACTTTTAGACTGTGAGTGATTAGATATGATTGGTGATAGAAAAGAACAGTTAAAAAATGATTCCAAGATTTTAGCTTGGGAGAAATAGCACATGATAATACCACTTTTGAAAGTAGCCAAAGGAGGGGAAATAAAAGCAGGGTGCATGTCAGGGTAAAGAAAAGGATTGGAATGGTATAGGAAAACTTAATTGTGAATTATTAAGAAAAACACTGTATACAAAAAGTTTTATAATAGCCTACATTTGCCAAGTAGAATCTTTAAGGAAATATCTTGTAATTCTCAAAACAACAGTTGTTTTTAATAGCTAAAACTTTGTTATTGAAAATGTGTTAAGTACATCATAATGCCCCTAAATCTTTCAAATACCACAGATATTTTCACATATGTTCATGAACTCAGTACATATTAAAGTAAAACAATTATCCCTTATTTTTGTGGCTAGCCACATATTTAACAGAGAATAAAAGTACAAAATTATGAATCTGAATTGTGAATAGACACAAACCATTTAGTTTTAAAAACTCAAGTCTGCTAGTGAGCTGATTTTTAGATACTCTGATTTTTATGACCCCGGTAAGGCCATTAAACAAAATATGTATTATAAAATAATATGTACTCAATGACACCATCTTAATTTTAACTCTGAAATAATATTACAGTACCATTCCCTACATAAAAATACCTTTCTTAGGTTCCATATTATCAGATTTCTAAAACAAATATCTGAGGTAATTGTTAGCAAACTAAATCATACCATGTATTTTTCTTCCTGTTACTTGGATGAAACAACTACAGCTACTGTGTTCACCTTAGCCAAAATCCTAGTCAAAATAAGAGATTTTGCCCTACATTTATAGATATCATCAGTAAATTTCATCTTTAAAAATTTAATGTTTTAGAGTGAGGTGTAGAGGCACACGCCTGTAATCTTAGCACTTCAGAGGCTAAGGCAAGAGGATTGCCATGAATTTGAGGCTAGCCTGGGCTACATGGAGAGACCCTGTCTAAAACATACAAACAAAAATTTATATTTTGCAGAAAGAGACCTAAAATAAACCAATATTCATTTCAAACCATTAGCCCAATTATTGATCAATTACAAAATACAGGTTTAAAACTTATGCAATAGAATTAAAGAGAAAAGATGAAGCTTTAAAAATACTTAAAAATCATTTAGTACATTTTAATTGTGATAATTTTTGTCAAAAACTTCATTGTAACTAGCCTTTAGATAAAAATCTTTAAATCATGTTTTAGCCAAAGAGAAATATTTTACTCATTCTACAAGAGAAATTATTTAATGAAGAAGATATAAACTTGTGTCAGTCTCATAATTGTCCAGATTCACCTAACAATTAAAAGCTTAAACCTAATTTGACAAATAGAGGACACCCATAGATTCTGTTCATCTTTTCTGTTCACCAATATGTATTTTGATACTCAAGTTTCTTGATGCAGTATGAAACCTTAAATATGAAGTTGTGCATACAAATCCAAAGAGAATTTCAGATAGTTTCTAAAGTTTGTTTTTTTTTTTTTGGTCTTTCAGAATTCCAAAGGGTTGAAGTATAGTACTAAATTTTTTTTCTTTTCATGTAATGAATTTTCCCTTCAATCTTTGAGATTATTCATAAAGTCTTCAATATTCCATACATATAAAACATTGAAATAGTCTATAGGAATATTAATAAGATGTACTTTATTGATGAAGACAACTATAGCTTATAAGGAACAGAATAGAAGGCAGAACAGTAGTACTGAAATAGCAATACTGCCCTCATCCAAAGAAAGTTTGTTGAGTTAGCTATCTGTATTTATACGTGATTCTTAAAAAATGAAGGAACATAATGGAAATTTTAGGGTGGATACTTGGCAGTCTGAACACTCAAATACAGAACTAAGTGTTTTCCTTGTCATCATTCAGGAAGAATATTCCCGAACTCACCCTCTGGTCTTCATTTAACTGAGTCATCCAGTATTTCCCATACTCCAGCAAGTGACCTGTTTGTATCAGACAATGCAAAGAAAACCAAGCGCCTAGAGTTGAAAATTCATTCGTATATTTCGTATTGCAATGGTTAAGTTTTTAAGAGCTACTAAAATAAATGCCAGATCTTTAAAGAGGGTGAACGTCCCAGTTTCAACATTTATAGTCAAAAATATTAGCCTAGCACTAAACTTGATATATAAAACCATTCTCTGCTTAAAGTGATGAAGGTCCTTTGGAGAAATGGGTGATTCCAGGATAGCCAGAGCTGGAAGGGTACACACTGAGTCTGGAACATCTGGTTGTGTCAGAAAAGAACCAAGGGAGGTCTTCAAAAGGATCCAGAAGCCAGCTTGAATGGGTTCCCATTTTGGACAATTTCTAAGCATCGCATTATAGTACAGTGAATAAAAGAAAAACCCATGAGTCCACAAAGACATAAATTAATAAACCCTAGAAAAGGGGAATCATTCCCTTATTAAAGAATGGCACCAACTGGGTTTGTTGGTGCACACCTGTGTAATCCCAGCACGCTGGGAAGCTGAGGCAAGAGGATTGCAGCTTAGTGACTTAGGGGTACCCTGTCTCATTTTTTTTTGAGAGCTGTGGATGTAGTTCAGGAAAAAGGCCCTGAAAACTCGCCAAGTGGTTGGAGGTCAATTGGGTATCCAGAAGTAAAAGTCACTAACTTTGCCTTATATCAGAAGACGCAGTTCAGTACTTTGCCTTACATCGTACAAAACATTTACTTCAGTTGGATTATAAATCTAAATAGGAAAGCTAAAGCAGTAGAGCATACATTAGAAAATAATATAAGAACAGGGAAGTAATTCATAAATAGTACACAAAGCATTTATCCTAAGATTGATTACTAACTACATTGTTTTTTATTAATTGAAATACATCGAAAAATAAATTATGGAGTGGAAGAAGATACTTGTAATAAAAGTAACCCATGTCCAGAATATTTTTATTGCTTTTTAAAGAGTATAATGAAAATATGCTTTGCTTACATCAGTTAATTTTATTTAAAGGGATCCTAATTTTTGACTCAAGATTTCAGTTATAAAATAACATTTATATAATACCTGAATACGCTTGATGTTTAGTAGAATCAGTGCAAAAGTAACTCCTAGATTCTACTTTTTTGTGATGTTCCTGGTATGTAATGAGTCTTCAGCATGTGTTTGTTTACTGAATTAATGGATGAATGTTTCATAATTATAATGTACACATAGAAGAATTACCACTCTCTCATTTTAACTTTAAATTACCACTCTCATTTTAACCCTCTCTTTTAACTTTAAACCTAAAACTCACAGTAAGCATTACAATTAGGTAAAAGTATTAAGTGCCAACGGTTTTAGAATATGAAGATAAGGTGCATTTTAAGATGTCAGGTATCAAGCATGATTATAGGGAGCTTAGCATGGTTTTTATCTTGTCAAATGTGCAGAGTATGGGGAAGTGTCATTGATTTGTAAGGCAGAATGGAGAAGAGAGAATTTCATCTCAAGTAGGGTTTTCTAAGCACATACTACTACTCTGGAGAAGTGGCAGTGGTTGAGATAGTGGATATTTGTGCAAGCTAAACAGAGCTAGGATTTAGCAAATGGCACCAGTAAGAGTGGGGTTATATTAATAATTTTTGAAACATGAAACTTGAAAGTTTGTGCCAGGTATATGATAAGTGATATGAATTGGTAATTATTACACTAAATTTCAACTTTACATTTTTGCAGAGTTTTAAAGTTTCTGTTGCTTCAGACAATGGATGAACAGTCACAAGGAATGCAGGGCCCACCTATTCCTCAGTTCCAGCCACAGGTAAGTTACTCATTCTGCTTAAGCGGTCATAAGTATATCCATGTGTATCAAATATGTATAAAGAGTAGTACATTAACAGTTCATTTAGGAAATAAAGTAGCCAAAAATGCTAATTTAAGATTGTTTTTAAGTTTTTGTCAGAATTTTTTTTTTTTTTTTTTTTTTTCTCGTATGGGGGATTGAACCCGGGACCCTGCACTTGCAAGGCAGGCAGGCAGGCGGCTCCACTGAGCTAAATCCCCAACCCAGAATTGTTTGTTTTAAAATGTTTTATAATTCTTAGAACTGTACATGAAAACAAAAGAGCAGCTTTAGCTTTGAACTTTATTTGAATGATATGCAGGCTTTCAAGGTTGCTACAGTACAGTAGTAGGTGGAGGGAAGGAAAGGAAAAAAGGCAGAGTTGTGCCTAGGTTTTGGGAGAACCTGTATCTTTTGCACCTACGTATGCTTTGGAGGGCTGCTCTTGGCGTGCCCTCCACTGTTTTGCATTATTGCTGCTTTTCTTTCACTGGTAGTGTTATTTCTCTGCTTATATGGTTCGTTGTAAAGCAAAGGGAATGTTTCAGTAACATGTATACAGAGTATTAACATTCACTTAGTAATCTGAGTTTGTTAAAGCTTGTTGTAAAGCTCAATATATAATGAAATGTTTAAAATAACTATTCTTATGTGGGGTCAGTCCCTCATGTTTATTGTTGTCGGCTTGGTATTTAAAGCATTCTACAGTAAGTTTCAAATATACTCTGCTGGCACTGTCCCAGTTTTGCTTGGACTATATTTCTAAAAGTGTTGGAGGAACTGATTTTTCAAATGAGATCTGTAGTAAAATAGGTTTGGAGAGTTGGGGTAAACAGTTATTTATGGAAGTACCTCCTTGGAACCTTTTTAAATACCAGTGTGTTTTGTAAAGCTCAAAGAGAGATACAGGGTATATAGTGTTTCTAACTTTTTCCATCTGTGGAATCCTTTTCTTCTGGTGCAAGTATTGACTTCTCCCAGAAGCACTGTTCAGAAAGTGTAGTCTGCAAAAAACTAGACAATCTTTTCTGCTTCTGTGACATGGCACATTTTGTACTCTCCATCTTTGAGTCTGCTTTTTAAAATCTTGGCCACCCTTCCAGAACCATCGAAAATGCTGTCTTTGCCATGAGGCTTTGGCTGATCTTCTGAATGTGCTGTCTTCCCTTGGAAGAGAAACTCCATGAGTATTCTTTGCCTTCTCTCTTTGGGGACAGCTAGTGACTTTGTGTAATTTTTAGATGGATATTTTATCTCTTCTATTAGGTTAAAATCTCTGTGAGGGAAAAGACTGTGTCTTGCCCTGGATACCCTGTGTTACTTCAACTTTTCACATGTAAGAGAGGCTGGATAAGAATGTATAACTGAAACCAACGAGGAACTCCTTAAAATCAACCTGTTTAAATTAGTCCTTAAGTGCACTTTTACATTGCTCTTCTTTGTTTACTTAATCTGAATTCTTTGAGTTGAGATTAGAGATTCTACCTTAAAGTAATGCCAATATTTTAATCTCGAGTACTCTGTTCTTTAAATCTATCTCTGTATATTGTAGAATCGTTGTAAGTCAAGATTATATAAGATTATAATAACCTCTGTCTACTAAATATAATTATCTTAGACCTAATTTCCCACATATGCACACTATTGTTTCATGTTATATTATTTCTAGCAAAGACAATAAAAGAACACTTCTAAAAATTAGGTAGTTCATGTTATGATTTTGAAATTCACAGGTTTGAATAGCCCTGTGTTTCAAAGAAAAAAAAATACAGATACTTTCATTTTTGCCTCCATTGACTCACTAACCAGGAAAGGTCGGAGAAGCACTAGGAGGCAAAAATGAAAGTAATGTTTTCTTATGAGACACTAGGCTGCCACACAGTATAAATTTCAAAATTATAGAAATGGTTCTGCATTTCTTTTCACACTGTTCCTTTCGTTTATGCCTCCTGCTGCTGCTCTTGTGTGGGGGACGCTTTCCCTGCTGGAAATAGGCAGGTGTCATTCCAGGCTCTAGCTGTCTTGTGGCAAGTCCGGGAGGGAGAATTTTTTCCCTCTTTGCCTTCAGACTGATGATGTGAGACAGTGAAAGAAAGATTACCTGACAAGAGCTCATAGGCGTTATTGCTTATTAAGTCTTTGAAAAATGTTACCACTCTCTGTAGCATTATTTTAGAAGACTGGGAAAGGACAGCCTCTGCTCAGGGTTGACAACCTTCTTTTGTTTTGTTCCACACCATTGGCCTGAATAATGGGGCTGAAATGGCAACATATGGTTAGCCCAGTGACTTACTTCACTTTTGTTATGCTAAGATAAGTCTGGCCGTAAACAGAAAACTACAAAAGTCAGCTTTCTAAGTGTCAAATACCACTTCCCTGTTATAATGACAAGTGATGTGTATTCTCGGCCTATTCTTTCTTTTTCTTGTTACAAGATGATACCTCATAATGTGTAATATGTGGTCTCATTTTTAGTACAGTATGAATTCCCTTTTTAAGTTTTAAAATATGAAATCTATATATCTTTATTAATCTTTTCTACATTACTGCCATTCTCTTGAACTTAGGGAAACCTTTTATTTTTTCTACTGACTTTGCTTTCCTTTCTTACTTACCTCTTTCTTGTTTCCTTTCACTGAAGTCTAGAGGGTACTGAAAGGATATTTTGACTAGATTTTTATCCTATATATTTTTATTGCCTTTAGACTCTTATTTGTAGAACAGGAGGCTTTTTTAAAATTCAGACTATGAAAGATGGTGGTAGAAATAGTAAAATATTTACTTCTTACTGTAAGACCGATTTTAAACAATGAAAGTTCACAACATTTATATTACACTGGAAGTTTACAATATTTTCTGAGACTGATTTATGGTTATTGAGTGAAGAGAGATAAATACTTGACTTTTATCATAAAGTTAAATATAATCAGTGCAAGCCTAAGAATTTCAAGGAAGATTAATTTTAATTATAATAGTAATTAGAAGCTTAGGAAATGGTCTTCGTTTTATTAAATTTGAAGGTAGTATAATGCATTAGCTGCCTGTGAAAAGAGAAGGGATCTCATATCTGTAGGTAGGGAAGTGGTTAGTCTTTTGTTTTTACAGCTTGGAAAATATGAGACTCTACTTTTTAACCAGTAAGGTAGACCGACCATACCTTTAAGCTTCATGGCAGTACAAGCTACTCTCATTTATGATTTCGAATCCCTGTGATGTAAATGTAAAAAGTGAAATGAGGGGTACCTACAGGAGTACGTTCAGGGAAGTAGTCAGAGTTCTTTGTGGGCCAGGAGAAAGGTAGCTCACGGTAGACTCTTTTGAATCAGTAGGATTTTTGGATATGATCACTAAATTATTTTCTTCTCTCTCTAAAATATCTTTCAGTTATGCTTGTGATATAAGAGTCAACTTAGCTTGCATCTTTTGGATAAACTGATTTTCCAAAAATATTTGTCATATGACATTGAATAGTGCTTCTGCTTTTGAAAGTCATCGTAGAAATTTAGATGCTATGTTCTCCTTGCAACAGTTGACTTCACTGATTAACTTTGATGATGTAGGAGAATGAGCAGTAGCTGTTTTGAAGAAGGAAGTTTATTGTCATAGTTTAAACTCATGGTCATGAACCTTACTTAAGTCAAACCCAGTGCTTCTCAACAATCCTATCATTAGCCCATTCACGTCCCACTCTCCTTACTCCCAAAGTCTCCCTCATGTCTTTTGTCCGTGAGCCCCAGCATATCCTCCTTCAGCCTCTCTCCCAGGTGGTACTTGTGCTTCTTATTTTACTGAAAAAATTGACTACTTCAGAAGAGAACGTCTGCAGATGCATGCTATCCACGTCCTCCTCCCAGAATCTGTCCTCATGTACTCTGCTTTTCTTGTTATCAGGTGAATGATATTGCTCTCAAAGGCCAGCGGCCCCAGGAGCACCAGACCCCATCTCTGTCCCTTACTAAGTTTCATTACCATACTATTGTACCATTATTTGTCCAATCTCCAAAAAAAAAAGGACCCTAGGATTGTAACTTAAGTCAATACAGCTGCAATTTTTACCTGGGTGCACACTATAGATAATGAGAGGCAGATGAATTTTTCTTAACCTAATTAACCCATTATTCGTATCTCAGGCTAGTCATAACTTGGTCCACTGTACTCCCAAGTAGCCTTTGAAGTTACTCTTCTCTCCAGCAGTTAATTTGCTTCTCTGCATCCTAAAATTGTTAGAGTTATATATTTCTCCTTTCCTTGTAAGTTTTTTTCCATTTAAGCTTTCTCATCCATTATGCCACATATGCTACTTTTATCAAGATTTTGTTACCTCTTGTCTCTGTTCTGTGGTCAGGTCTCAGTTCTCATCTTTATCAGCTGCTTTCAATGAAGTTGATCATACTCTCTTCTTTGAAACTTTTTTTCTTTTGGCTTCCAGGAATCTTGTTTTTCTCTTGTCTTACTGGTCCCTCCTCTGCTGGTTTCCCATCACCTTCTGAATCTCTCTTAAATGGAGTGCCCAAAGCTCAATTTTTATTTTATTTTTTATTTGTATTGTTTTTTTTTTGTACCGGGGATCAAACTCAGGTCCTTGCACTTGTGAGGCAGGCGATGAAACCACTGAGCTAAATCCCAGGCCAAAGCTCAGTTTTTAGATTTCTTCTGTATCAGTCTGTACCTGTTAACTCTCAAAGTCATCTCAACCTGGAGCTCTGCCTCTTCCAGACTGACATATCTAGTTGCCGTCTTGTTATCATATTTGCCTGTCTTTACCCTAATGTGTCTGAAACTAAACTATAAATATTTTTCCCTTAACAGTTCTATCTACTGTCTTCTCTACTCAGTGACATGTCTGTCTTGCTGTTGCCAAGACTAAACTTCTTAGAGCCATCCCTGATTTCTTCCTGTTTCTCTCAACTCATTTAATTTAGCAGACACATAATCTGTGTCTTTAAAATATGTTTAGAGTTTTAACATTTCTTACTTCC